GTGGATCCTTGTTGCATACTGAATTTCTGTTAAATGAATTTCTAGAACAACGCAACACAACACAACACTACACAACACATCGCACCACAGCTCAGCACATATGCATTAGCAAATACTGAAACCTAAAATATTATTGCAATTACAAAGCAATTTCACAAACTTTTGGCAAACCAATCTGCATAACCGCAACATGTTGCCAGGGTCTTTTAAAATTTCAGCTAACGACTGAAATCATCGATATCCAAGGATATTAAGTGTTGATATACCCCACAGGTAAAATGAAAGTTCGTTAATATTAATTACTAATAGTAATTTTAATAAATTGACTTAAATGTATCTATCAAGGTAAAGTTATATGAATCTTCAATTTTAATTATTAAAATTTTATGATGAGATTGACTTAAGTGAATTTATTTTCTTAATATTTTCATAACTATTTTAAAGTAAATTAAATTTAAATAATAATAATAAAATAATAATTCTTTAAGTCTACTTAAGTACATATTATATGTGCAAGATATAATTTTCAAATACAAAACGTTGGAACGGTTAACATTTTGAGTTCTGTAAGTTTATAAAATTAGTTCATGCGTTACTACACGTTATTAATAGTTACTATTAAATAGCAATTTATAGACCACATAGTATTATTTCTCTCAAATGATTTTTTTGTGAGTATACTTAATGACTACTGGCATTAATAGTTAAGCAATAATAATAGCTGGAACAGATGCGATATTAAAAACATCATTTGCTACTAAACTATATTAAATTTTAACATTAATTTGTACGAATATAACTAAAATAATAAAATAATATGTTATAGTTAATAAAATTTAAACATTATAACATTTCGAAACATAACAACAATTTTTTTTAATTAAAGATACATTAAATTCCAACGTTATTCTAGTTTTATTTAATCGGTTCACTAGACTCAATTTCTCTCAATGTGTATAGTGGATTGCAATAATTATTTGAAAATTATGTTATAATACTCAACTTTTTAGTAACATAAATGAATTGATTAGCTTTCGGTAGAAAAACAACCGAAACATGAAACATTAGGCATAACTCAGTTTAAAAAGATACAGCTATGCGTGTCTCAAAAACTGAGCCTCTAAGCACGTTATTCTTAAGTAACATTGCGAATAATAATTTCGCATAATAATGAGAATAAAATATACAAATTTTAACTATTCATACTGGGATAAGTCAATTAAAGCCAATCATACCTTGGAATATAACTGAAAAAATAAAATTGAAAATTTGTTTCAAGGATTAAAAAATTAAGATTTTAAAGATTTTAAAGAATTTTCCTTTTTTTTGACATAGCTAAAACAGAGTACTCTTTGAATACAAATCTTGATATCCATCAAGATTTCTTCCAGCTTTCATTGCGCGCAAAAGAATTATTTCATGTGGAATTTTAGTTACCAGAACAGTTTAAGAGCTTTTCTCCAGCTTTAGTTTTGGATTTTTTTCACAAAGGTTGTTTGCTTTCATTCAAGAGTTTCTCAGTTAGAATCAGAAATTAACGTCTTATTATGTTTTTTATGTTCCAAATTAAACATAAGAAAGTGCTCCGGCTAGAAAGGTGTTTGATTCGGTACTCGCAGATGGAAAATGGGGTAGAGGATTGTCTTCGGTGGAATGACAAGGAGACCAATGATTGGGGGGCGCTCAGTACTATTAACTAGAGACAGCAAATAACTAATCGGACTGGCTGGCGGAGCCGCGGCCAAAGAAGACTCACGTCTGTAATGGCCAACAAAGTAAGTAAGTAAGTCACTAAGAAAGTGACTTGAGGTCTTATATTGTTTTAAACAATTATTTATTATTTAACATTACCAATTATTTTTATTTATACTACTAATGCAATCAGTAAATTTATATTGAAAGCTGTAGTTAATTTGCTACTCAAGTAGCACAATTTTAGTTCTTTCATGTAGATAAAATGTGCTTATACACCACATTAAGATTCCCCTTCTCATATTTAGAGCATTCACTTCAAAATAATCTTATTTAATATTCTCATTTGTCACTATTTCCTACGCAAAATATTTATTTCTGTCATTCAAAATAAATATAAATAAACATATCCTTGAACCCAGTGTCGGGTTGTATGTACATAAGATAAAATTGCATGTATTCGTATCTATTCAAATCAAATTGTAGCCGGCATTGGTAGCTGTCAAAAAAGGGCAAAGCGTACAAAAACATGTCGAATGTGACGTGGGAATGTCGAACTGAAGCTGGTAAACTGTCAACATAGACAAGGAGCTTTAGTGGCATCTGACATGACACTTGTACGCAATAAAGTGTAACGTTTGAGTTAAAACTGTGTGAAAAGACAAGCTTTCGCAGCCGATTACTTGCCATGTTAATGACTCGCTATAAAATGCGGAACAGGATACTAACAGGATTAAATAAATATATTTACAATACTTCAAAAGTTATGACATTAAAAGTAAATAATGCAAAAATAGCTATAATTATTAAAAAAATTTAATCTTAAGCTCTTTATTATATGAATCAGAGCAAATATATGTAAGCACACAATATATATAATATGTAAATCTAAAGATGAAGTTGTTAGAAGAGAATAAATAACGTGACAAAAGGTCAAATAAATCTTCTTTCACATTAAGATGTCTACTTTAAGTAAAGAATAGACAAAAAATTAACTTCTCGTTTTTTTTTTTCGTTAAAAGAAATAAAATAGTAAAAGTGCTGAATACTCCTACAAACAAAGTAAAACACTAAAAACATTAGTACCGTCAGTAAGGCAAAAATAATATATAAAAAAATACTTTGTGCTCATATGATATAAAAACACATTAAAAACTTTTTATATCCTGAAGCATACGTGTAGTCTACTTGCATGTGTGTAGCAAAAAAGGAGTCCACCTATAGCGCAACAAAAACGCAGCACGCTGCCCTTGTGAATAACAAATTTTATAAGGCCCAGCATGTACGCTTGAGGTATAATAGGGGCAACACCTCCATTTCAACCCAACACAAGAAAAAAAAAAAATAATATAGATAAAAAAGGGAAAATAAAATCTAAAAAGCTGAAAAAAATCTAGTTAAAAAGGTAGTAGAATAGAAAAAAAATATATACTACAAACAGTAAAAAAAAAATCCTACTACGGCAAAAAGCCATTTAAAGCCAAAACTTCTTACTGGCAAAATTCAAATCCCAAAAGCCAAGGCCACTAGACCATTCGCCAAGGCATGAAAATTATTATTTGGTATTATGAAAATGTCTAAAAGTGGCCGTTATATTACTTATATAGACAAAGTTTTTTCTATTTTTGTGTAATCATTTATATTTTTGTCAAATTTTTTTTTTCAGCCAGCAAAGCAGACTATGTATCTCTACGACTACTTAACTCTCTTGAGTACTGAAAAAGTTTTTTATATGCATTTATAGGACGATTACGCATTTATGCTGAGACAGTTTCAAAAAAGTTGGCACAAAAAAAAAGATTTTTATGTATCATCCACAAAAAAAAAAATAAGAAAAAGACTTGGAAAAAAAATGGTGTGACAATCTTTATAAGTCTACCTTGAAGCAAATGGTCGTGAAGGACATATACATTCCTGGTTACATTTTCGTACACCAAATTAAGTGTGAAATTGAATAGAAGACTAACATATGAAAAAGTGCTGATGTCGCTGTAGTTTCTTTTTAAGGTCACATTTGAGAGATGTACGAGTGTAAATGATTCTATAACAAGGGCTGATAAAAATGTATTTCATGCTTGCTGAGAGAAATATATATTGAATGATTTTGGAATATGAAATTCTGCTATTTTGAATGACAGTATTTTGGAAAATTGAAAATATTTAATTACAGAATAGACTCACACGGTATGCAATTATAATGAAGGTCATTTGAATACAATTTATCTGCATAATTAAGGCCCTATCGGAGCGTAAAGGGTTGTAAGACCTTATTAACTTGCAAAAATCAGTATAAATTAGGAATAAACTATTTAAATTATAAGGAACTATAAGGATTAACCCAAAATTGTAGGAGATATTTTTTTTTTAATCTTAAATGTGTCAAAATACATTGTTATTCCTGAAAAATATTTTTTAATTGCAAAAAAAGCAAGAATATTTCCCTTTAGTGTTAAGATTATCGAAAATGTTTCCCTCTCTCTGATTCTAAAATTTATAAGCAGTACTAATTCAACAACTTGTCATGAAATTTAATACTTTGTATATAGTCTAAAATTAAAATACTTAAAATTGTGAACTAGTTAACATACCTTCATTTCATTAGCATTAATTCACAGTTTCTTTTCCAAAATTGATGAATTGTGATATTCTAAAAATTTGTCAATAATAATAATCATATGCCCCACATATGTACATATGCTTACATTTTTTTTAATAAATAATATACTGAACACATGACTGTTAATTATTATCTTTAATTACAGAATTTGTAGTACGTAAAACATTTTACCATTTGCCATCGATACATTTCATATTAGGTGAAAACATATATTCAGCATTTTAATCATGCTTTATCATCTCTTATTTCTAATGACTTCAAATCCAATCCGCCCTCGTCACTTTTCGTAATGACAGGCTTTGCTTGCTACTTTAAGTAATGAGTATGTGTTTTCCCTTAGGCAATCAAACATTCTAATGGATTTTAACTAAAATAAATGATCCAGGCAACGTTTGAAAACACTTTAATACCTAATAACGCACTTCTAAGTATGCATCGAGCCAATCTAATTTATTGTAGCAAATCAATTAAGCAATCGCTAGAGCAGAAATTATTGCTTCAAATAATTTTACGTAGCAGTGCGTACCACGCACCCACCTACGTAAAAGATTACACTCTACACACTCTACACACTCTACAAACTCTACATCGATGCGCTGCAGAGGACTTCACACAGCCAATACTCACATATATGCATACGTATAAGACTCACACAAGTAATTTGTAAATCAATCAAAGTTTTTGAACTTACCCTATCGCCCTTTTCGCCAGTCATGCCAGGATCGCCACGTTCGCCTTTCTGCCCAGCTTGCCCTCGTTCACCAGTCCGTCCAACATCACCTTTTTCACCTGCGGAACCTTTTGGTCCTGGCGTTGCACTACGTAATGAACCCATCGAATTGCCCATTAAGGATTCCTATATGTGAACGTGAATGTGAATAAGCGAATGTGGGCGTGTGTGTATTTGGTGTGTGTGTTTGTGTTGGAGAAAAAAAATTGAAAAGAAAATATGTTAGTAATTTGGTTGTTAGGCAATAATTTGCTGTTTAAGGATTAATATAGTAATCCTATATATTCGAGCATTTCATATCCCTAAGGTCACGTGATAAGCACGTTTTGATAAATGTTTTGCTATTTTAGTTTTTATAAATTTGTTTACATCTTAAGATTAAAAATTGTTTAACCCTTATGTGTGCATGCTTTGCATATCTAAATATTTATAAATTTATTATAAAGTCCTTAAAAACCAATTTATTAAATATTTACTCTTTTATATTATAATTTTGATGCATAACTCACTTAAGTGAATGCAAATGTTAAATAAAACTTTTACTTTTATTTTTAATATTGTATAAAATTTTAATTTACATTAAAATGAGTTACATTTGCTCTTTTTTTCCCAAACCTCAAAACGCATAACACTTAATGTATGCCAACAAATGGCCACGGATAGTATCTGTCAGATACGCTGTGTGTTAGATGGGTGAATCTACGTGTTACGTTCGGTATACGTACGATTGTGTGTGTCAACTGTGTATCTATGTGTGCACGTTTATTTGTGTTATTTACAATACTAAACATTATGGCTGAAATGTAAATAGAAATCACGCACGAGTTGTCATTCAACTGTCAACTTGCATAAAAATTGTGACTGATTGATTGAAAAATAGGGCAACCATGTGACAGATTGACTGTCTATTCCTACCCTGCATACTGACAACTGTAGGTCTGTGTCTAGTTTCTTTTTGTATATATGTAGGTCGCTATCACTGCTTTCAATATAAATATACACTTATGTACGTGTGTACAAGAATATATAAAACACATATGATTTATGTATATCGATTGGGAATTAAAGGCAACAGTTGATGGTATTTAAAACTTATTATGGAAAAAATTAATAAAAAAAGCAGAAAATATCAGTAACAGCAAAAATGCCATTAAAATGATGGAATAAAATAAATGACATTTAGGCTTTTATTGTTTTAAATATTTTTCGCATATATTTGTTACAAATAAAAAAATTCCACAAGTCAGCAAACCAATTGACACACATAGTTTGATTGGATTTTTTGAAATGAGTGATCGAATCCAATAATATGGCATACTACATTAGCCAAAGCTTTTAAGAAGCATGCACATGTATGACATGATATCGATATTATTAAAATAATATTATTTTTTATAAGTTCAGAAAGTGAAAAATTCATGATTTTTTATTCAAAAAAAAGAAATAGTAAAAAAATTGCTTGAAATAATAAACAGTTGTGGTTGTAAGTTAACTTTTATTTTTCTGCGGCTTATCAAAAAAATAAGAATAATAAATAATTATTTAATAAACTTTATAGTGAACTTTATATTTTTAATTTTTTATGCTTTGGAGTGGGATATATATAAGGAAATATTATGTAATTTAAGTTTATATCTATATATTATGTATATATATATATCTTATATATATAATTCTTCTGTACGTGTGTTGACAGAGAACTCCTCCTAAACGGCTGAACCGATTTTGATGAAATTTTTTTGTGTGTGTTCAAGTGGATTCAAGGAAGGTTTAGATTCATAATTTGGCCCACTGGATAATGTCTTTTTAATCAATTTTTTATTTTTTGGTATCCATATACATTTATATTAAAAATTTAAAATTTATTCATGCTTACTTTAATTTGTTTAAAAACTTTAAAATCTCTAAAATGAATTGTAAAACTGACGTTGCATAGCTTAAGTGCATTTAAATTCCGCAGCATAATTATAGGTGAGCCAATTTTTAATCTTAAGTTATGTAGTGGTATTCCTGGTAAATCCAGCGAATTCAAAAATTCAACACACAAAAAAGAAGAATTATATATATAAAGATATAAATATCGTACAAAAAACAATGCCACGTCTTCGTGGACGAGGAGGAAATATTGGTCGACGGACTCGGAATTCATAATTACTCCAGAACCGTCGGTTAAATATATCGGCGAAAATAATGAAGATGTAAGAAACCAGGATACAATTACACGTGCTAATGAAAGTCAAGAGCAACGCAACGAACGCCAGGAAAATTAATTGCAAGGGGAAACAACGTTCGCCGGGTTAGCTAGTATATATATATATATATAAAATAATATTATAGCATTTGTGTAATTTGTAATAACACTGAAAATAGTCTACGAAGTAGACCCAAATATTTGTTAATGATATATATTACATAAATTAATCATTGTAATATTTGTATTTAATTTAAAGTTTGTTTTTTATTTAATAAAAGTTATTATATAAAAATATAAATTTAAAACCACAACCTAAAACCCGGCAAAATTTAAAACATAAAATAATATTTTAATCTTAATCAAAAGAAATGAATTCGTGTATATCGCAGATTTTATAAAATTTAAAATTTTTTGTAAAGATTGCTTAATTTTGTAAATACAATAACAAAAATTAGAAATTAATTTTTAAAAAAAACTTTTAAAAATAATTTTAAAAATGAAAAATAAAAAAAAATATATTAGAACTTAGTATATTCTCCGAAAATTCAGTTATTGGATATATAGTACACACGTGCTTAAAATAATTAAAAAATTAATACCATCCTGAAAATTATTTTTTTCAGTAAAATTTAATACTGAATCTAAATAAAATATAAAAAATGAAAATTCTCCAGATACATTCAGTTAAATTTTTTTTTTGAAATTTAATGGATAATATTAGTTTTTAAATATAAACAATCTTATTTATTTAAACTATATCTTAAAATTTCAATCAATTATTTTTAAAACACAATAAATTTCGAGTTTTTATCATTTATGAAACCTGAGATATGGCCCTTTAAAAATGTGTCTGTTATTCTAATTGTGAAAACCCCATGGGTCTATATCTTCAAGAAAAAAAATTTCAATATATTTCTAGAGATATAGGTCTTCTTATTTTATGAAATGAGCTCATAAAAAAAATATCAGCCAAATAGGAGGTGATGAGGTAATTTTTGGTCAAAATCCGTCCGATTTGTAAAAGAATTATCTATATGTATTGTTATTTAATATTTGACATATATATTCTAAGCCAGATAATTTACAAGTTTATATCATACATGAAAAGTGATTTGACGTTTGTTGCCATTATTAAATTGAATAAATCATCTAGAATGACACAAAGCCTAGATATATAAGGTGAGTTCGAGTTGTTTTTTTGTAGGAAGTGAATTGACATTAAAAATTTTAATAAATAAGAACAGTTAAGAACATTAAAAAATTTTATAAATAAGAATAGCATAATGACAGTAAAATAATCATTCTTAATGCACTCAGGTATTGTTTCAGTTATTGCGAAACACCTATTATTAGCCATTATGTTTCAAGTATTGCGAAACACCTATTATTAGCTATTATTTTTCAAGTATTGCGAAATACCCATTATTTGGATATATCTATTCACGGGTTTTAGAAATCCGTTCAATATTGTTGAACTACATGTGACAAGTTTAGAATGCTGAATCCTTCAAATTAGAATAATGGACTTCGTGGCTTAACCGAACGAGTCTAAGCTCCACAGAATTTACGTTATTCAAATTTTAAGGGTTTTGTTTTTTCTTCTGATTTTTCAGAGAATCACAATGAAAGGAATCAACTATAGTAGTTTTTAAATTATTATAACTTTCGTACTATTCTTGTTTTAATGGACATTATTATATATTATATATTTTAATATTATTTTTTGGTATCTATAGATATATATTTAATAACTTATTACAAAGAGGTACTGTTAATGCTACTCCATGATAGCTAAAGTGAAATGGAAAATTGAACAATATTTTCTTGATAATATTTTTCTCTAACGAAATAAAAATACTTTCTCATGTTACTTTTACTTTGCCTTTAACCTTGATTCGAATATTTACAATATAACTACCTTAAAAGAGTATTATTTATTTATATATTTATGAGATAGAAATTTCAGTATCTGTGTGTATATATGGTATGGAGTATGGTAAGTGTAGTTAAGTTTATCATTTAAATTCTTTTGACAAATTGTGGTTTTTACTGTTGCTGATTTCTTGTCAGAATTGTTTCTGTCAAGAAGATTTTTAAATTGCATTTCAAAAATACAAGTTAAAGATGTAAAATGAAAAATGCTTTCTCTATGAAAATAAATAACCATACTTCGTTCTTACCAAAATATTGCAAAACATTTTTAAACTTATTTTATACATTTCAAATACCTTGAATGTCCTGGTAGGATTCCAATTAATCTGTTTTATATGATTTTATAACATTTTATGTAGTTTTTTAAAAAAAATAAGTTTGCGTGAAATTATATATAATCAAAAATATTATTTATTTTGTTGAATGTTATATGCAATAAGAGTAAATAGCATATATTTATTATTAAATTCATAATAAAAGGTATATGATTTTTATAATTTAAAAATAATAGTAACTATATAAAAATTTATATAAAAATTGTTCTTGTACAATTAAAATTATAATATAAATATAACAGCAATATTTAATATCACAATGAATAAATTATTTATACTTTTATATTGTGTAATAAAAACTTTTAATATTTTATAATGATTATTTCAAAAATCTAAAATATATTTTTAATATATCTAAGGTTTAGATTTGTGATAATGTTGTGAAAAATATACTATATATAAGACATATAGTACACTAGACAGGACTTTTCTTTTAAATAAGAACATTATCTTCACTTTCTTCTAAACTTTGAAGTCATCATCAAGATATTAAAAACGACATATTCCGTGGTATTAAAATTATTATCAAAGTCCAAGAATTTCTTTTAAAATTAATTCTTGATATAAGAGTTTTCTTCTTTAATGTTAAACACGTTTTTAGAATTTTAATCTGTTATAAACAGATTATTTGTCTATAACAATAAAGGGTTTGATTACCCTTTTCATTTCTAATTTTATTTTATTTAAATTGCCTAATTTAAATTAAATTAGAGTTCTAATGAGAAAGTTATTTTTCAATAAAAATGCAAATTTTATGCACAACCAAAAAAAAAAGTGCTTGTAAGGGGATCGATTTCACTATCAATTCAGTTATAAAACTTTTGTTTTATACAAGCCTATTGCTTAAGTATACGTTCTCTTTCCTAATAGCCTTGGTAAGTATTTTTCAACAACAACCTAAAAATCAAAATCGGTTAGAATATAAAAATCAAACCATACCAAATGGAAAAAAAAAGAAAATTACCAAACCTAAAACCAATGACCGTGCAAAAAGTAAATTAGCATCACTCCTGAAATGTGGCTCTTACCATATCGCACCCATCTCCATCCAACAAATAAAACATTATTGCCGAATATGCTCAACCGAACTTAACTCAAATAATATAGAATGAAAATGAGGAAAATATAAAACGGAAAAGCGTTGGAGAAATCATTTCTAATTTATTTGCTAGCGAAAAAATTCACGTTTTTCATGCTTCAACACTTTTTTCTCAATTTCATGAAATGCTACCAACTTTTTTCACATTCAACTTTTTATTCATCCTCATTCAGGTCCTCTTCATTTTCATTTTCATTTCTATTTTTCTTTTTTGTTTTTTGTGTTTTTCTTCCACTTATTTTCATGTTTATTTTCTTTATTTTTATTTTGGGTTTCTTATTGAAATTCTACCTTTTAGCAATTCGACAACTTTTGTTCGAAAAAGTAACTATATCTCAATAACTTATCCGTATGTATTTGTAAATATGCATGTTCGTAAATTGCTCATCAAGTGTGAAATAAGTTTAAATCGGTTGAGGATGAAATGAAACTGCAGCGCTGTAATCAGAGTTCACAAGCCCATCATGAATCCCCTTAACATTTGGCTCCATAAACCTGAAACGTTTTTACATAAAACGTTGGGAGCTTCAACAACATTTTTAGCTTTAATAGACATCGAAATTGCTGCAATTAAACATATTTCCGTTTTCTCTTTATGGCGGAATGTGCGCATCCATGTCATGTTAGGTTCTATAACCTAAGCGCCGTATCTATCGTTCGGAGCACTCATAACGGCTACAATAAAATATGTTCTGGTAGAGAACTGTTGTTGGTCCTTTTTTATTTTCCGGTTGTCTACAGGAAAGTGACTTAATGAATGGCGGCAAGTGTGTTTTTTCAAGCAATATTTTTTATTACTCTGTGCTGTAAAATTTTTATTGTCTTGTAGAAGTTTTAATTTCATTGAAATGATTTGTGCGTCGTGTACTGGCATTAAAATATAAATGATTTTATCGGTTTAGATCTTTTGATAAAATAAAATAAGGAAATAAATTGAAAAGGATATAGTGGGAAAATAGTTATTAAACTAAAACACTGTTATATGTTGTTTTATCTCACGTACTAAAATCCAAATAGAGTAATGGAAAAAACCGAGTTAGTTATAAAGTTTCTTAAAGCTATATGAATGAGCAAGAATTTTTCATGAAAAAGGTAAGCTTCTAAAAGAAATTACAATTATCAGCGAAAAACTCATGAATATAAGATAATAGTTGAGGAAACGTTACTTCAAAGCTTTCGTGGAGAAACTGGTCTAATTACAATCCAAGATCAACTGAACTTTCTTTAAAGCTTCTGTGACAAATCTTTGAACTGTTGTTTCTCTTTTCTGTAATATAGATGGATGGATTAAGTACGGTAAGGTACCTTAAGGTAAGGTAAGTATAAGTTACGGATACATTCTTTCTATTTCTATTTACGCAATTTCAAAACTTCTCTGGCCTATTGATATTTAATGTATATATATAACATACTCAGAAAAATATGATCGAATCACATACTAGATTAATTGACCTTACATTTTAGCTGATGTGGTAAAGAACATATGAAAACCAACATGTGGTATGGTTGAACCAAGATCATGCGCCAAGTAAGAATATTTTGCTTTGAGATTAATTCAAGATCTGGTTATATCAACCAAACATGTGGTATGGTTGAACCAAGATCATGCGCCAAGTAAGAATATTTTGCTTTGAGATTAATTCAAGATCTGGTTATATCAACCAAATTATTTTTCTGAGTGTATTTATATGTTTATATATAATATGCTCTATTATATTTGAATTTTATTTATTAATTTGCGCTGGCAGTTCTTTTTACATTTCTTGGAAATGCTCTGTCAATATGCAAATTTCCATCCAGGATAGAAAAGTAAAACACAGATCGTGCATCGTTCTTAGAAGTTAGAAAGAACTGACTAAAACGATTTGTCCAGCTATCAAATTCATACCTTTAAGGCGCTATAATGTGTTTCATTTAGTGTAAAATAACAAAGTTTAAATATTATATACGTCCAATAATATAACATTGGATAATGTTATAGTTACACTTTCAGGGGCGATGTGTGAGCTATAGATATTAATGGATTTTTTTTATATTTTAGAAGCAACTTTTGCACACTAATACATAACAGCAATAAAATTAAAAAAGCTAGGTATAATAGGTTTTTCCATCAGTTCTATTGTTTCAATAGAAAGGGTTTGTCTGATATGATATGAATGAGATCATTGTTTGAAAGTAGTGAATATTTTTAGTTTCATTATTTACTTGTTATAGCTGGGCTTTGATATCGTCAAATTAGAGAGTATTGAACTATTATCTTCGACCGATACAACGATATATTATTTTAGCAATAACACAATTTCATAGCCATTAATATGCTAATGAAATACTTTCAGTATGAGATGAACTTTCTTGAAGCCTGTTAAACTTAAACTATCTTGAAGCCTATGTTGTGACTATAGTAGTTGACTATTTTATTCATAAATTTGTGGAAAATTTTTGTTTTATGAATATATAATTTTATAATACATTCGTCTGCATCTACCGGTCCACAAGTACGACTAATAGATTTAAAATTAATAATAATTTGTTAATTTAATTTTTCAGTTCTATATAGACATTATGAAAAATTCTATAATTAGCAATTAATGAAGTCCGAAAAAACTTATTTTTTATAATTTAAGTTCAAGTATTAAAAACATATAAAACAAAACAACTGCGGCAATGTTGCTAAACAATTGTCCTCAGTTATCCTTTTATATTTCGACACAAAGCACTGCACGTATTACCCTCCGTGGTTGGAATGCCTATTGTATACATTGTTAGCGCTATTAACGTTCGCCACAATAAGGTCCTAATGTGTGGCTAATATAGAGAAACAAGGCAGAACAATAAACTAAACTATTTCGAGCTGTTTTTTAAACATTATTTTCAATTAGAAAAAAGGGGTCTATTTAGAAAGGCCACAAAAGCGTTCACAAACAATAAGATTAGTACAGTAGGCAACCTTTTGTTGAGCACACACAAGCTTTCTTTTGTACACACTTCAAGGTATGTGAATGTGACAGGGCCTATGGAGTTTTTTTTTTCATTTCTTGGTGACATTATTAAGTAAAGTCACAGTTCGCACAGTAGAACAGTGGAAATAAAATAAAATTAGTTTTGAGAACTGTCACATTTGTCGCTTGACAGTTAAAGCCAATTTTAATGCAGTAGACAAGTCAACAAAAACCATTTTAAAGACAAGAAATTCACCCTAAAATTCTATGCGTTGCTCCAAGAAAGGTAACCCTTTACTTTCACGTTGGCATACCTTAAATGTACATGACACTTACACAACTGTTACAAGGCGATAACGATAACGCCAGCATGCGGTGCACGCTAAAAACTGCTGCGTCTGCCAGAAGCCAGCCACAAGTACGGCAAATTATGCTGCAGAAGCAGAAACACAACCATGTCACGTGTAGTTAAGGAGCGGTGAAAGTAGCGGTAATAGCGCTACCAATGGGTTGAGCGCTAGCGCTGTTGGTAGCACTGAAACAGCTACTTTAGTGTTTTGATGGTGGCAACGACAGTGGTAACATGCCACCGCGCTGATAATAATAATTGCCACAAGGCGTAAGTAACTAAATGTTGGAAATTCGTGCAGGACGTCACACCTAAGGTGGTACTAATGCTTAGTCTACTAGTCTACGCTGACTGGTAGTAAAATTGCCACTGTTGTTGCTCCTGGCGTGGCGTATTTTAGGCATTTACTGAGTGCTAATTTTTTATGCTTCTTTTTGTTGTTTAACTTGCGCCTTTGCGGTTACAAGTAAGATTACATTGGGCAGATAGTCAGCCAGTTGGCATTTTAGATATTCGCAATGAGCATATTGCCCACAGGAAGGAAATTAGTTAAAGCAAATTGTTTTTGCTACAAGACAGGCACGTCATTTATTTTGCAAGCGAAGGTTGCAAACTTTTCTTCGTGATTTCAGACGCGAAAATTTTATACAAAACTCCACGTCAATTTGAATGCAAACAAAAAAAAAAACTAAAAAATATAATATATTTTTTTTTTTTTGGTCAGAGTTTAAAATTTTACTACGTTTTCGCAAAGTTCATTAAATTTAGCCTTGACAAATTTTATTTGCTCAACGTGTACAGGTGTAATCTTAATTTTAATTGTACAAGAACAAAAAGTCTTTAATGATAAATAAAACAAAATTTATATCAAATAAAATATCTTTAGAAAATAAAACTTAAATATTTATTTAAATGACATTGCACTTGTACTTACATCATAATTCTCTGGTAAACCAGGTGAACCTGGTGGTCCGGGCGGACCCATAACACCAGGTAGTCCATCAACACCTGGTTCACCTTTTTGTCCCTGCAGACCTTCGGGACCACGAGGACCAGGATCGCCCCTATCGCCGCGGTCACCTTTGGGACCGGGGGCACCGCGTTCACCTGGTACCCCAGTAGCACCCTGCAAGAAAAGAAAAAAATATATACAAAATAAATTAGTAAATTGTTTAGTTGTGTTTGTTTTTTCATAATTCTATTTTGTTTTTTATCTGCAAATTTAATTAAACTAATATTTCACAAAGCTTTTAGCAAACATTTTAACTAAAAGTCTACTCAAGCGTATATAAATAATTTATTTTTCACCATTTGACACGCCCTTTCTAGCATTTTTGTGCGCTAAGAAGTAAACACAATTTATTTAAACCTTTTAAATAAATAGAAAAAATAAATAAATAAATAAAATTATAAAACGAAATACTTAAAATGGTGCGTGTCCTTTGTTGACATTTTTCCTTCTTGCCACTGTTTTTTTTTTTCGGTTTTATTTTTGTCCTTGTCGTTTTCGTTTTCATTGTCGCTGTAGTTGTAGTTGGAGTTGTGTTAGAGTAGTACGAGTATAAAATTAATTGCAATAAGTAAAGGGATTAGGGTGGCAGCACCGGAATTTCCGGTATTTGGCAATATTTCATCAACAACTACAATAAAAATGTTAAGAATCATAGGAAATGGTTGGGCAGTAGGAAATGCTATTTGTTGTTGTTATCGGTGTTGTTCTGTTATATTTGTAGTGATTAAAGATTAAAGGCGTTTGTTAAGGAATTTGTAAAATGTAGGCCCACAAGGTTCTTACCGCTAACAAATAAAGGCTTTGTAAATTGCATTACGGCTTACCGAAATGCTTTATTTTCGTTTTTATTTAATTTTTTTCTATTTTTTGTGTATGTTTTTTTAGCATAATTCGTTTATTTTCAACCTTTTTGCATGGAACGAGGTTAGTTGTAAGTGAATTGTTGGTTAGATAACGATTTGTTAATGGAAATGGATTTTTAGCAATAAAAAATACTTTTTTTTTAGCTATTTTTGTGAAAATATTTTATCGATGGATTTATTTTATATACTTTGTTTATTTCAGAGAACAAACCGTTTTTCGTTTGATATATTGAAAAAGGCTGCGTTCCACGGGATGCTTTACAACATAAAATATATTGTTTATATTAAATTTATTTAGAATAAATTGTAACCAATAGAAATAAATTTAATTTAATTATTTAAAAAGTGAATTTATTTTATTTTAATCACAATTAAATTTACTAAAATAAAAGAAACAAAAAATTATATGATTGACGGTTTTTTGGCTGCCATCGGCAGCAAATGCAATAAACTTAAATAAATTATTAAAAATATTTTGAATTGACTTAATATTGTCCAATGTTATTATTTTAAAATAATAAAAGTGGTGCTTGCTATGCTTGAGTATAATTAAAATGATTAAATTAGTTTTTGTGATAGTTTTCGCACAGCTTAGGTTATTATACCGGCAATCCCAAGTGATACACTTAGGCCTAAAGGTCCATTGTGCAACCATATTATTAGACACCCAAGGATTAAAGCCTTTAGAACTTTCGGCGAAGCTTATGATGCTATTCAAAGGGATCAAAAAAGAAAGATCCTCAAAACGGAAAGTCCTTACTCTCACTGCACTTAGTGCGTTGAAATTTTAGTCTTGCTTTGATGCTGCTAAAAAGGTAATGAAACCAATATATGCACAATATTTTTCTTCTTTTCTTTTATCATTTTTAATATTTTCTCTTTTACACTTACACAGATATTTTAATCGTAATGCCAAAACTAAACAATGAACAGCGAAAGTATGAAACTTATATGTAATTTATGAATACCAGGATAAATGTTAAATCACTTCTCCAAGTATATTTCTTACTTTCTAAATCACACACAAACAAGCGGAGTTCATGAAAACGAGTTTTCATTTTGTAGAATTCATTAAGTGTACCAAGCCTCAAACATTAATGTACCTCAAAATTAATTAATTAATTCTCAAAAAATACTTAGTATGACCTTAGCTATGTATAAATTGGAGGTATCTGCTAACCTGGTACTGCAACCGTAAAAAAATTTCACAAGAAAATATATTCTATAATCAGATAAGACCTAATATAGAAAGCTTTCCATCAATTGTTCTAAAACTATTCAAAGTTTTTAAAAAAAAAGTATTAGCAATAAGAAAGGAAAATAGTATGCTATCAGAAACTAATCATATAAATACAATTCGTTATTCTTTCGAATTGCCAGGTTGCAATTCAGGCTTTGAATTTGGACATAACAACTGTTTAATTAGATGTTTGGGTCGCAAATAAGAAGAGATTGACCAAAATAGAATTGCACTTCCTGATAATTTAACTTAATACCAAATAGCTGTGATTGAGACTCAAATGAATATAAAGTCACAATATTAATCTTGTCCTTTATTTATATAAAGTAGTGATAGTTATTTGATCAATAATTCACCAATTAATTTAGGCTATTTCAAGAAAAATTAAAAAAAAATGGAAATAAAAAAGTTTCTAAAAATGCTCACGTCGATAGACATTAAATATAAAATAAAATCAAATATTCTAAAACAGTTGTTCATGGATCGAAGGGCCTGTATGATGCCTACAGATCGATAGACATTAAATAGACATTAAAATCAAATATCCTTAAATAGCTGTTCATGGAAGGAAGGGTATTGCAGCCTATATGACGACTAGAGGTCGATAGGCATTAAATAGACAATAAAATTAAATATCCTAAAATATTTGTTCATGGATGAAAGGGTCTTGCAGCCTGTATGACAACTAGAGGTTTACGTTCCGGAAAAAAATCCAAAACAGGCATTAACGCTGATAAGTAGAAATAAAAGTGATGCTAAACCAAAGACAGTTATTACTGTTTGCTGGTATATTGAATAGCAGTCGACTGAAATGGAAATCTCATATAATTTTTATTCCAAAAGCTTTATCAAACAGAAAAGTAGACACTAGTTTTTATATTTTCTATATATATACAATATTTCGATGCAGTGAATAACAATCTAGGTAAAAATTAGGAGCCAGCGAAAGCTAATACGAACGATCATCAAGAGAGTTAATATCAATAACCTGAAGGAGTTCTTACTTGTTAGTAAAGTAAGTATACTGAACGTTCTTTGTTGGGGCAATGCAATCTTTTAAAACCTCAAAGATGGCGTACCACACATCGTTCATCGTTTAAGAATTCGTAATACAAACGTATTAATTTCTTATTTAACATGCCATGTCCCAAGAAGATATTCTTCTGAACTGATTTGTTTGGTTTTATTTTTACACGGTGTCTACACGAATGCTTTGTCTTAAAATAAATAAATTGTTTAATCAGAATGGTGTTGAATTATATTATGATACTAAATTGGGTGCATACACTGCTACAAATACTTTGTTATGGTTGTTATCTCATTGTAATTAGTGTTTATTTAGGCACACATGCCGCAACAAATCTTTCATTATGATTTACATTTCATTTTAAATTAGTATTAATTTAGGCATATACACCGCTATAAAACACTATTATAAAATGAGTGTAAATCAAAGAAATAGACTAAATAAATTGGTATCTTACAACTACTCAACTTAAATAAAATCATTCTATACACTAGACAAAAATAAGATTTTTATATCCAACGGTTATACGTATTCTGTCTGCGAACACTAAAAACTTGGAAGTAATGTTTTGGAAACTTGGAAGTAATAATTTTGTCAAAGTTAAGCCAATGTAGAGCCTGGGTTATATTTATGATAATCATAAGAACTTCATTGGTATATATCCCAACACATTTTTTGAATTAATTGCGTTAATGTAAATAAAGCCTTAAACAGTAATAATAATTTACTTAACATAATTTTGATATCAAATCTTAAAGAGGCTGTGTTGTGGTAGACATAATTTTAAAATTTTTTATTTTTTGTATAATGTTTCCCCTTTATACTGAAGTTCCTTGCCCTTTAATATCTTTTATTTAAAAAACAACACACTCGCATGAACCAAGCGACAGTAAAAAATGTTGCACATGAGCTGCATTAGATTTGTGCAGATTTTACAAGATTTTAATGTTGTATTTTTATAAAAAAAATTTGTTTTCTAATGTTTTGTTTTATTTTTACCATTTTTGTGTGTTAAACGAGTAGAATTTAATACAATCTATGGTTATGGAAATAACTCTACCAGAATCCCCAAAGAAACAGAGAAATGTGCAAAAATGAAAAAAAGGAATCACTCTGGTGCTGTTGTACTTTTCTTCAAAGAATTTCCGCTATCATAAGGATTTTGTGCACATCTGATGCAGAGCACGACTCCTGGGCATGATGATGGCAGTTGATATCAGGTAAAAATAACATAAAATTTGTAGAAAAACGTAAAAAAGAGCAAAAACTCACAAAAAAGGGGATAGCGAAACCTCTGATAAAACGAATCTAAAGTGCAGCAAAGATATATGTATCTTATGTGTGCGCATAAGTGGCTAGATGGGCACGGGTATGGTAACGTGTACTTACGGAATTGCACTTAGCTAAAAGCTCGCTTTACTATAGTTGATAAGAATATACGACATAGAAGTCTATATTATGCTGAAGACAGCTTTACGGGGTGTATGTGTGCGTGTTATGGTATAAGAGGAATATATTTCTGCGAGAAACTGCATTCGTAGGTGCTAAAATTGCTTTTCATCTGCGTGACACGATATGATTTGTAGACATTTTAATGCGGAATTAAAAATATGTAAATTTTTATGTACTTCAAAGCAAACATAAACACACACACACACACACACATACACACAGATTAAAGCAGAATTAACTGTCTGAAAAAGAAATTTACTTCGTTTTCTTCACACTTCGTTTTTTGTAAGTTGAACATTTTTTGTGCTTCTTTTTGGCACTAATATCATTTTAGGTGGATATAATATCTTCAACATGACATGACACAAACTTAAATGAAAAATAAAATAAGAAATAAGAAATAATAGATAGAAACAAACCATAAAAGCGAAACATATAGAAAACAAGTTAAAAGAAATGTAATATAGCACTCTCCAAAGTGAATATGAAATATGATCCTGACGAAACGTTGCTTCACCAGCACAAATAGAAAAACTCGCATTATAATGGGAATAGCAAGGAACATGATGAGATAATATTGCAACATGTACATTCATTCATGTGGCGAGATACGATATGCGTCCATGTGCGTGTGTAGATAGATTTCGGTTGGTGTTGGCATTGCTGTTTCTCCATTTATTTCTATTATTTTTCATTTATATTGTATATATTATATGTACACAAAAATGTTCGGAAGTGGCGGGTGTGAAAATATTAGTGGCAATTCCACACAACAGACACAAATAGAAACAAAAACTGTTGTTCCTAATGATGTTGGCGGATAAGCAAAATGAAAAATTATGCTCTTCGGGATTTTTTCAATGGCTTTTGTCTTAGATTCAGTATTATTTAGCAAAATCCTGCACGAAATGAGAAAAAATAATATATAATCTTTAAGTCCGTAAATAATGCTCATAATCTTGTGTGAATGCCGTATGAGTGTCACTAATTGCGTTATAGTTTCCGCCGCTTTATTTACGTGCACAAGCACAATGATTAAGGCCTCTTCTCTGCTGAAATATGGCGCTGGGTTTAAAGGTGAATGTCCGTAAGTGGAGCGATTATCAGTGCTCACAAGTTCATAGTTTTGAAGTTGTACAGTTGGCACATATCGTGTAAATGATTTGAAAGAAAATTATATTAATTTAATAATAAGAGGTTCTGTATAGAAATGAAATGATTTTAGAATGTGTATGAATGGTGGTTTCTTATCATCATAACTTTAGCGTAAAGGTTAGTAACAATATATTGAAATCTGTAAAAATACTCTAGAATATAACTAGGAGCTATATAACTCTTTTATGCATTTAGACTTTTAGAACAAGGATATAGTGATATAGATAATGATATCGATAGAGAAAACAACACAAAAGCATGCTCTTGAGTTCCTTTTAATTAATTTTTATAAAATACTTTTAAGAATAATATTACATAAGGAGTTTTTATAAAAGTAGTGTATTACAACAACAAAAATTCATTGTATATTATTTTAATTAATTGAATTTTTCAAGTATTGCCAAACACCCATCATAAGTGGACTTAAAAATAATTCATGTATTTAATTATTTGTAAATAATTTTTTTTTGCGAAATAATATTACCCAAACAAAATTAATTTTAAATTAAAGTTTAATGATAAAATCGACATTAAAATAAAAAAAATTATGATAGTTTATTTCTCAAAATTTAATTTAAAAAAATTTAGTAAGCATAGTATACGCAATAAATAAAGTGTATATCATATTACATTAAAAAAATACTTCTCAACGAACATTATTCTCAACAAGACATTCATTATTGAAGTCAAATTTAATAATTACTTAATTGAAGATAATTACAATTAGAAATCAAAAATGTATATTTAGTGGTATTTAGTGTATATTTAGTGGTATGAAACTTAATTCAAGAGTTTTGTAAAACTAGATTTAGTTGGAATTTAGTGCCTGTACGTAATGTAGAAGTATATGTGAAATTATTTTTTAACACTTTAATCATAAAAAAAATTTAGTGATCAATCAAAATCAGAAACAAAAACTTAATCTCTTTGCAGTATATTTTTCAAAATTTTATTTAATTGAAATTTAGTCCATATACGTGACACATTTAGTATAACATAAGTAAATTTTTTACAAATATTTCCAAAAATAACGCAATCGGAAAAATTTTATGATTTTATTGAAATTCATGATACCTGAATTTTAATAAAAAATAATAAATGAAAATATTTGATATATGTTTTAAGCACTGTTTTAAATAAATTGCTAGTTTATTAAAAACTAAATATAAAAAATTACAGACACCCGAACCATTTCTTAAACATTTCTAAAATAACAATTATCTTTACAACGAAATAAATTCATTTATTATTTAAAGAGTCTAAGAAAGGACCACTTAAAAATTAGTCAGAAATTAAAAAAATGATAATTCTTAATAAAATCTTATTTTAAAAAACATATTCTTGAATAAAAATTTCATCAAAATCGGAGGTGATGAGTTTTAAAGCCATTCCGATTAGTTTGCTGAACAATTGACTGGAGAACATATCAGTTTATTTGATGGTTGTTTGTGCGGATTAGACGGATTTGTGAGTTTGTATGAAATTTGTGTACAGAATAAAGTACAGAAAAGAATTTGAATTATAAAAAAACATATTTTTTGTTTCTGAATGACACAAACTCTTTCAAGAGGATCAAGAATGTATTGAAGAGGACACAAGATAAAGATGTCTTAACACATTTGTTCTTGATGGAACCATGGAAAAAGTGAGATTGTGTTTTCTTATTGGAAATATAATATTCGAAAGATAAGGAAAGAAAATGGAAATGTTGTATATCTCATGGGATGCGGTTTATATGTGGTAGAAGCTAATATTACTCTGAGTTCGCAACTGCCAACTTTTTACATATTTATAACTTGGCTTTGCTCTTTTATTATGACGGAATTACAAAGAAAAGTAAAGACTAATGTTTTTAACCAAAATATAGTTAAGGTAGATGCGAAATCTTATAACGAGCTTATTAACATTCCTAAAAAGATGGGAATGTTTCTTAGGTATGTAATAAAAAGTAATAATTAAGTATGAGAGATTTAAAAAAGAACTTTCTAGGTGTGAAATTTCTAGTATTGTGTGCAAATTAATACCGCTAATAAACTTGTAGGATGACACACTGGCAGCGCCACTAATAAAGAATCCATATAGATTTCAAAAAGTATTAACTTTTAAATGATATCTTTTAAAATTTCATGCAGTTTATATAATTATACATTTAATTACAGTTGTTTAAGTGACGCTACTTCATATATATTAAGCAAAATGGATTCAAAGCAACTTTGATTCTTGATTTGTCACTGCCTTTTGATGGGAAAAAATATTTCGATAGTAAAAGTTTGGCTTGATATAAGTGCTACTCGGACTCTGTTCTATTGAAACAAAAGAGAGAGGCCCCAATGAAAAAGTCACTCTATGGGAGTAGTATTGATATATTACAGAAGCTTTGGAATGATTATATTACTCTTGAAGATGAATAAATTCAATTTTGCCAAGAAGCTGTAGTTTTATTGATTTTTTACGGACCTATGAGCCGATGTTTTATTCTGTGTACGTTGTAGATAACAACTCATTACAATGCTTTATAGATAAATCTTCTTAATGGAAGCTTCATAAATGGTATATAATTTTATGGAATCAATGGTATTCTATTTCATAAAATTAGTTGATCAATATTTGATTATTGGAATATCTTGAGCAATTTTCTTTATCAAACTTGTTGTCAGTATCACAAAACTTAATTTAAAACAAAAATAATGTAATTAATGCTTAAATTATTAAAATGTTTATTTATTTAAAAATTAAATAAAAATCTCTATTAAATTATTTGTGCATTCCTTTACTGCTCCATGTTGCAGCGGAAGTGTCTTAAATATTAAAAACATATTTTCAAAGTTATAAAGTAAGCAATTAACAACTTCACAGTCACCCAGTCACCCCTGCAAAGGTTAAACGCAGAGGAAGTTCTTTGTAAACTTCTGTGGCTCCATCGAGCGCAACGTGTACATTGAACTGCCGTTCCAATGATTTATTAGAATCAATTATGTATACAAACGCTTTTCTGTTAAATGCAAATGCATAGTGCCATTAAAATTTATGTACATACATTTCCCCTATAAACGGTTTCTATCTTTCGAAATGGTATATAGTATGTATATGGAAATAAATTATTTCTGTTGATGAACACAAAATGAAAAACTTACCGTGCGTCCGGGAGCACCTGTTTTTCCCTCCTTGCCCGGCAGACCGGGTGGACCACGTATCGTTTCACGCAATAATTCATTATCCTTAATTGCTTCTAGGATATCAGACGCATTACATGTACACTTGCCAGTATATTTCTAAAAATAGACAAAGAAAAAACGAAAACAAGAAAAAAATTATTAACCATTTAAAATATTTGTTAATTTATGGTTAAACGATTAATGATTATTTGATTATGAAAGTTCTTGTCAGCTTGTAGCAGTTACTTAAGTTGAAAATGCGCCTAGAATGCTGGTAATGATGGTAATTTATTTTAGGTCTTTGGTACACTAAGTGTTGTAATGTTGTAATAATTCATTGCAATTATGTAAAGTAAATGAGTAGAAATATAAATAATATTTCCAACAGAAAATGCTGTAAATATTACGTACAAAACCCGAACATAAATATATGCAGATGGTATTCTTATTTACTGTAATGTATTTTATTTACATATATTTATGTATCTTTATGAGTAGCAAAATTAGTAGATGTTTGTGTGAATATATGTGACATACGAAACATTTTACTGCTCCGTCGCCATATTTAAGTCAATTACATTTTTGTACAAATTTTGTCGCAGTTGACATTTTCATATAAATTACTTTGCATTTCTCCCTATGCGCATTTCTCTTGAAATGACGGCATATTGTATGCAAACGTTACCAATTTCCATAATTGCCCAACATTATGCAATACTTCCGGTTCCGCAGAAGAAAATTCAATTCGACATATCTACACTATCACAAAATATTTAACACATATACGATGTACGCAGTATATTTTCCTATTGCATGTCTGGCCAATTCAACTGAAATTATTGCATACGAGTATATGTATGGATATAAATTAGAAGTCGGTCATTATGACCATTGGGAAAGGTATTTAAAAATTATATAAAATGTATATATGTTTTAGAAAAACTTGCAAAGATAGGAAAGCAAGAATATTTTAATATCACACCTAAAATTATTTCTGGGTAGGTTTCTGAAGATTTCTAATTCTGGGAGGCTCAAAACAAGTAGATATTAACTATGACAAATTTTTATTAATTAATTTCAGTTTTTTATTATTGAATTAAAATTTTATTATTAATATATATTATTTAATAATGTTGCTCTTTATTATAATATCATATATTATATTATATAAAAATATAAATTTTTAATTTTTATATTTATTTAATTTAATTTATATTTAAGTTTTACTTCATTTATTTATTTTATTATATCAATTTTTCATAATTAACATATTTATATTATAAAAGAAACTTGAGAAATGTTATATGGAAGCCTGATATAGTATTCCGTCTACAGTGTTCACGGTATGATATAAAGGTTTGTGAAAGAAAAATGTATAAAACATATGCAAAAGTCTAAACATGGGGAAGAATATTCGGTGCCTGTGTTTGAAATCTAATTATTTTAAAATAAATATTTTAAAAAACTTTAAAACAAAACTAGGCACGATTTTTTCACTACATTTTGTAACTTAATTTATACATAAATTAACAATAAGCTTTATTCGAAATTTTCAGCAACTGCAAAATGAACTGAACAGACCGTGTGCTTCAGGTAATTATTCGGAAGACCTAAGTAATCGGAAAATCTTGTTGACATCATGTAAACATTTGTAGAATTCTTTTTGTGCTGAGCAATTTAATAAAAAATGGGAATACTCAATGATATGTAGGCATCTGTATGCAAATTGGCCATCTTCTTTTAAGAAAAAATCCAGTACTCTCCTTAAAGTACTTCGTAAGGCTTTCGGAAAGGTTTCTTGATGGGTCACAGCTGCTTAAGGAACCATGTTAGAGGATTGAATATCTTTTTTTTCAAATAATTCCTGTAGCAGGTGTGTCTCATATTAGGAAACATAATAAAACATCGGGTTTTATTATCATTCCTGACAATAAAAGTGCCTTACATCAGGTTTGGTACTGCCTAGCATATGCATGGTGCCAATTAATTATTTTGGTAGCTTACTTTTTTGAGCCTCTTGGCCAACTGCAAGACCTTCTTCCAAAGAGAATTTTAACGTTGTCAAAGGTTTAAGGTGGTTTTAAATATCTGATTTTTTATACAGTAACACAATGGGTCAATAGACCTAAGTGGATCCTTAGGATTGACGGTATAACCTAACTTAACAATTTTCATACATTAATATAGATTAAAGCCAAAATGTTACTTAACAGCAAGTTCAAGTTCTAGTTGAAGTTCTTCTGGTTAGGGTTATAGTATACAGAAAGCCACGGATACGTAATATATGAAATTACTATTGTTTTCAATAATAATTCAAAAATTGAGATTGAAGGAAGTATAGAAATTTAGATTTTAGTTTGGTCGGTTGGTCATGGTAAAGAAGAATAGTTGGTCAAAACAGTGTTGCTCAGTAATACATTTAGAAATTTTTGCTCTTTGTGAATAAATACATACATATATTGCTTAATAGAAATGTGAGCATATTCATAGAATTGTTTTAGGCACAAAAATAATGTACCAAAATAGTAGTTAAAGTAGGGAATTGCTAATTGTGTATAAATTGCTGTCTGTATAAAATGTCTCGTGATGATGACCGGATAAAGAATACAACTATAATTAAAACTCTCGCCGCTTTAATACTTGACTTTATACTTCGATGAGAGACATTAAGTTACTACCACTGCCCCATCCATAATAATGGCTTTCATGACCCTGGTCACAGAGTTCACCATTCCCCTTTCCTCGTACTTGCACAACAATCTTATAGTCTACATCTTTCCTTTTTCTCCTTACACTATGCCCATATGTTCTCATTTCGATAACACTAGACTGCTACGTACTGTTAAAGATTAATCTATCGCCCTTCAGAAGATTGGTAAAAAGTTTTTTTATCAAATTCCAACAGGTTTTAGTGGGTTGAAGTCTCACACTGTGGCTGTGTGAGACTGTGTGAGCTTGAGCAACATTAAGCAAGGCTTAGTAAATCCTTATAATATAATGTGCAGTATGTCTTTAGAAATAGAGATGTGGGATTTTAAAGCATCAAACCGTATAAAAAAATGTATTGCCATTAAATAATTTTTCTCTTATTGTAATATCTTAGTTTCGTAACAGATAAGATCTGCTAAATATGTACCGCACGTTGACTATAGCAAGAACAACACAAACACAAAGGACAATTGTAAAAACAATGTCACACCGAACGTTGACAGTGTTTTGTGAATGCATAGAAAATATCTTTTTTTTTTCTCGTTTTCATAATTTCATTTGGTTCGTGTTTCAGGCCGGCATTGTTTTGCAAATGAAAGTCCAATATTGTTTTATGGTTATAAATTAAAGCTCATATTTGTTCAAGTAACAAGTTTATTTCTGCATGTGAGTCGGTGTGGCTACAGAATGCGTTAGTTGGCTTTCGGGCGAGCATCGTGCAGATGTGAGGGCTCTGGCAAAATATTTAAATTTACAAAGCATCTAATGTTGTATTTTAGAATACATTATGGAAATATTTTCCAAGTATTTAAAATTAATAACAGAAAACACATTTTCTATGTTCAATTTATTGGAGTTACTCATACGCAATGTTGTCCACATTGTTCTACAGACTCATATTTAATTATTAGATAATTAGAAAATAAAACTTTAAAAGCTTTAAAGTACTTACGTATATTAGGCAGTATACATAGTACATTTTAATGTAGTTGGATTTAAATGGTATGTGTATGTAAAATAAGCTAATATTAAGAGAGCAAATTATTAGCAATTTCATATTAAAGAAAAATTCATTGTAGCACGATTAAATTAAGCAATTTTACATTAAAGAAGAATTCATTGTAGCACGATTAAATGATTTTATTACCTGCATTACCTTCTAAACAAGACGATTTTGTCTCAAAAGAGAAAATCTCGTCTCTGTTTGAAAACAGATAAAATAAGACATCTAGTCTATTCTTTTTAATTACTTAGCTTTGATGTGGATCAAGAGAAGAACACTAAACTAGGAGCTATTATTTGAAATTCTATTCTATAACAATTCGTGTGCATTTGACATTCCGGCATTCATTTGAGGAATTATGTCTGGTTCGTAAATTCGACCGATTGTGGCCAAATGACCTACAATGATCGCAGTGCACTTCTCCGTTAGGAGCACAGTACTACATTAATTACAAATCGAATTATCGAATTATGCTTCTATGTATATAACTGTCACTTTTTGTTAAATAATTTTAAATCTGATGTGGTAATAATCGCAAGAAATAATTGAATGGGTTTTAAAGACTCGGTATAATCCTTATGTTAAGTATTAAAGAATAAGTAATCACAAGGAACAATTACAAGAGTTATCGAGGGGATGGTATAACCCTTACGTATTAAAGAATATTGAGTTGCTTAGGCATCATTCGCAAGGAACAATCAAAACGTTCTTAAAGGACGCTATTTTACGTGATTTTTTCTCTAACGTTAAAATTGGTAACCATTTCCACTTCAGCTACATCTTTTTTCTAACTTTTCTATGGTAAGTACTTGCAGATGTACAGAGTTATAATGAAAAAAGTTTAGTCTCTGATTGTGGCTTTACGTTACTTAATAAATTCTTATTTCGGTTGGACTTATTTAAAATAATTTTATGGAGTCACCTATTACTTTTTATTCTTCTTTTGTTCTTGATCAAATGCGAGTTAGGGTCTAAAGCACTTTTACTCAATAGTGTCTGTGTTCATTTAGATCAGGGCTGTCCAAAGTACGGCCCGCAGGCAGCATGTGGCTTATGTTTGTGCGGACCGCGACATTATTTTAGTGTAATACAATTAAGCAAATTTTGTTTTGATGTACTCGTAAAACTATATTATATTATTTTTATGGTATACCAAATAAATGAATTTAAATTGATAAATTAATAAAACTAAATTTAATATTATAATCGCATTTTTATTTTTGTCGAAAATAACCATGAATGTATGCATTTATATCTGCGGCTTTATACACTAATTTGTATTGGCCCGCTATAGCATCTGGACAGCTCTGATTAAGATGATTCACTAAACTTCGGGTAGGTCAGGCTTCGTTGATTTCTGATAATAAATTATTCAGATGATTTTATGGAATTATACTTTGAAGTCCAGCATATCTACCAATTACTTTCAATTACTTTTTTAAATGCTTATATTGAAATAAATTTTTCTTCCCAAAAGTAAGAAAGCATATTACTTTTGGTAATTTTGGATTATGGTACTTTTGTTTATAAGACCATCCCTGTTCCTTTGCTTATATTTGCCAACACTTAAAAAATTTCAGTAGTACGCAGTTAAGTACACACTGCGATGATTATTGTCATTAGAATTTATACGATAACTTACGTGTGAAACTAACAAAATCAGGAAGTAAATACCTGATTTCAGTTGATAACAACGCGTTTAACTAACGGATTTTCGCCGTTTTACTCGCAAATGCAGACACTAATGCAACACGAGATGCTCAAATGTCCTGCTGTGGTTAACATGCAATTGCCAAGCGGCTTATATGGAGTTGCATGTGAGCATACATACGCATGCATGCGTGACGTTTAGTACTCTAATTTATAAAACTATGGAGCTTTCACGGAATTTATGCAAAATGCTTTGCGACAGCGTGGAGTGCAGTACAGCGCCTGTGTTTAAAAATTTAATTTGCATAATATTTTATATTGCGTTTTTCTAAATAATTTCTAAATTTACTAAACAATAATTCAGAATGTCACGTGTTTTTAAAGTTTATGAAATACCGCAAATATGTGTGCCTACATAAATATGAGATTGTATGCTTAAAAAACAATATCCTTTTGCGGTTAAGTATATAGACATAACAGCTCCGATTGGCATATATGCACACACGCTAGCGAAGTTGCATGAGTGTTTAAAATGTGTTTATAAAGTGACGTATCTATATGTGGGTAGTTGTGAATACATTTTAATGAAGCTTGGGTTTACATTTGCATATGCATTTGGTGTGCATACTTGTACCGCACATACGCGCTGTGTTAATAAGTTCGGTAGAATAGTGTTGCCACACTTGTCTAGTATTTTGTTCTACACCATTAATTGCGTATTAAACCATTTTAAAATTTGCATAAATGTGCTTAGCTTAGTTTAACTATGCAAATATTTGTTAATATGTGCGTTGGCATTACTGCAACCGTAAATATTGGTGAACCAATGCATTTAAGCTGCTACGAAAGCTAATTTGTATACTGATTCATAGGTGTTTACGAATTGTCTTTATAATGACAAATTTATACAGTTACAGTTTAGATGGATAATAGATATAGTTCTTATAACTGGGTCACGAATTTATGTATTAAGTATATATCTTAAAGATAGAAGCACTTATCTAAAGAATTCTTATAACACAGCAGCATAACTGGACAAAGTCCGTACGTAGGGTGTTAGAGGATGACGTATTTGGTGGTTACAATTTAAATACGTATTACTTAAGTCATTTATATTAAATTGTATTATTGGCACACTGTGAGTCCCAGTATACTAATTAAGTATCCGATTGACGGCGAATGCCATAATCGTATAAGGATAAATTAGATACTATGTAAATGAAGTTAGGTTTTTCTTATTATTTCTTATAATTATTTATAATATTTATGTTTTATATATTATAAATTATTGAAAATGTTAATTTTGTAAATGTAAATATAACCTATATTTAATAAAAAGAATACTACTACTACTAATTAAGTATACTAATTTAATCTTCTATGGTGGTTACTTAAACGATAGTGACTTGTTAAGAAACTAACTAAAGTATGCATTATTAGACTGATACCTGGCACCTCAATAAAATTCCTAGAACAATATGGGTTCATATTGTTATCTTCATAAAAATTAGTAATATTTTATTTTATTCAGGATTACAAAAAGGGTTATGTTTCATAAGTATTTATTAAGAAAATTAATATAGTATCTAATATACTATCTATAGTAGTAATATAGTATTCATGATGCTTTAGTTCTTTTTGGTTACATAAAGTTTTACTCTTAAACGATTTTAAATTTGCCTGATCAAGATTATTTTAATAATCATATTATGTTGTGGACCTATTAATACATATTTTGTGTGGAAATAACCAGGTGTGACAGATATACTGCTTTAATAAATCTATAAGACCTCCCAGTCTATAAAATATATGTATTTCTGAACGCTTACATTAAGTTAGAGGTGTATATAAGTACCTCCCAGGTAGTGTATATATATGTATATATTATATACAATTTAAATAAAAAGTTCGTTGTTTTGGACTTTTTGGTGTTTTTGCATTACTCATTCTAATAATAAAGGAAATTTGCTGGAAAACTTTATATTTTTAATAAGTTTTTTTATTTGACAAATTGGTTAGAAATTTAAGCAGCAAAATAGCACTTAAAACATATGTCCCCCACGTACGCAGTGACATCGATTCACATAAATTTTGGTTTTTATTAAAAACACACAATAAAAACGAATCTAACCGATTTTCCAAATGAACATTTTTCATTTATTTTTGATTTTCCCAAATGCAATAATTTCGAAATGTATTTTACGTGTCATTATTAAAATTAAATACTCAGAAAGCAAAAACAGGAGTAAAAATTATGAAAGCAGATTGCAAATCGCGTATTGTTTTTCGCCATTTTACGTATAAAATTTTTGACAATTTTGTGTATTTTCAAATAAATTGACGTAAATAACGTATGCGTTAAATATTCATGTCTGAGGCAAAATTGTAATTAAAATTTTTGCCAAAATTAACAGGAAAATAAATATATATTTTTGCTTAAGTGGGAGTGAACATATATAGTTATATGTATGGATTTATATCCCGCCGTATAAGAGTGAAAAAGTATCTATGCAGGTGCGTACACATATGTGCGGTTCTGGAAATAAATGACATTTAATTTTCACATATGCCAGTGGAAAATTTTATGCACTTTGGGAATTGAACACAAACAACAATTAAACTATTTTCGACACAAAACAAGCATACCAATTATGAATTATGACATTTTCTATGCTGACATTTTATTTTATTGAACCAAACTGCGATAATGGTAATAAAATATGTGACACGACACTTACCGCCTCAGGATTTGCTGCAAAATCAACGAAAGGTGCATAAGCGGCGGAATCACCTTTGGGACCTGGTGGGCCTGGTGGTCCAGGTGGACCTCGTATACTATCACCAGGTGGTCCTTTAGGGCCACGCTCACCCTTTTCACCTTTAATTGTACGATAAGCTGAAAATAAAATAAAATGCGTTAGTTATTGCAGTGAAAGTTTATTAAATTTTGTACAAAAAAAATAATTTTAATTTGTTGCAAGGGAAAAATGATTTCAAATTAACTTAAATAAAATATTTAAAATTTCGCCACATTCTCTCCCGTACAGATAAAAATTTGAAAAATTTTTGACAAATGACAGTTTCCAACTTTAACTGTTGAAAACCACAAAAATTATGTTGATGAAAAAGTTTTTTAATTCAGCTAAAAAATAGCTGTGGTGCAATACTTTTTGCATACACAGTAAGCGTACGAGAACGAGCAAAATATACACACAATGAATTTGTCAACGCTTATATGCTGGGTCAAAACTTCATCCTTCCGCTTGCAGTTGATAATAAATTTCAAAATTATGTTTTTTAATAAAGTAACCAAAATAAAAAAAAAACTATATGTAAAAATAAAAAAAATTAACGAAAGTTTTTATAGAAAATCAAAAATTTATTTACACACAAGAAAAAGAAAAAAAAAATAATAAAAAATTATTTACTCAGAAAAAAGTGTAATACGGAAAACTTATTGTATGTAAATTACATATAAAATTTTTTAATGGTGTGCACTATTGTGCTGGTGTTTCGTGATTTTACACTGGCTTGCATGCTGCACATTACGATTGGTGTTGCATGCAATCTTTGTTTGTTCTGTCGTTTGTTGCTTTATATCCCTGTAAGCAATGCATAAAAGGTGTGTTGTCACTCTTTTATATTTTTCCTTGCTTCCACTTAATCTTTTCCCTTTCTTTTTTCTCCCATATCCACGTCCTGATTATAAATTTACTGCAATTCCATAAAATTTTAGCGATTAACTTTTTGTGAGCACGACTTTATATAAACAAAAGTCAACAACTTTAACACGACAGCACCAACAGCGCCAACATTGCCAATATATGCAAATTCAAATCACAGCAATATCTTGTAATCGCCTTTGAACTGGTACTGGTGTACGTCTATGTGCGAATATAGTCGCGTATACGTAAAAGTGTTAAACGAAAACTCCTTGCGATTTTTTCATAAGTCGTTTTCCGCAAAAAACGTAGAGAGGATGTGTGTCAACATACATGAAATGACGTAAAATACCATTACTACTACTACAGCGCGAAAAATCGCAATAAGGATATATTAGTTTTTTTTTTCAATTTTCATAACATGTCATTAAAGAAACTCTGTATTTTACTTTTCCTTTTGACACACTGTAAAGTGCTTACTACATATACAATATGTAAATGATGAAATTTAATTGAAAAGTTACAAACGCCAAAGAACTTCAAAAAAATTTTAAAATTGGGATGGAAATGGCGAAAAAAAAAAATATAATATAACCCAATATAAAAAAAAACACATTAAAAGCTAATAAGTTGGGTTAACCAAATTTAAAAAGGGCTTAGTAAATACGATATATTCATTTTTTTCAGATTTCTACATCAGATTTCTAATTCTTTAAACGATCCTTGGATATGATTCTAAAGCGCATCTTCAAAGCTTTAAAATATCACTCTTAATAGAATACTAAGGTACTACTACACGCTTCATCACAACAATATATATTAAAGAAACATTTAGTAAGCATTTTATAAAAATATATAAAAATTTTATTTTTACAAAAAATAAAATGGTATGATAAACATACATTAAAAACCTGAGATGCGTTACATTATATGATACATGGGACCTCTAAAAAAATAAGAACAGAAGTTTCAAAACATAAAATGAATGTAAGAGGGAGCAAAATTCAAAATTAATTAATATTATTAATTAATATTGTATTAATATTATTATTTAATTATTTAATAATTAATTATTATTAATTACAAACTCGCAAGCAAAACTTTAAGAAAGCTGCAACTTGGGACCTCTAGTCGACAACTTAAGGTAAAATTCTTTATTTCATTTATTAATAAATAAGCTTGCCCAAGTCAGTCACATTGCCATAATTGTCTTAGTAAATCAACGTGGCTAAAGCGATAAAGCTTCGATAATAATCTTAGTGGACTAATGTGTACAAGTCTATAAAGATACAATAATAATCTTAGTGAACAAAGTCGGCAAGGTTGCCTAATTTTACTTGACCAATTAATATGGCCACTGCAGGAAACTAGTAAACTAGAAAATTAAATCTGTCTTTCAATCATACTTGCTGCAGTTGTAGAGACGAAGATGAAAGTACCTCATATCGTTTCTATCTAGCACATGTGCGGTTTCAAAATTCTGTATTCTCTGAACCAGTAGAGGTATTGAAATTTTATTTTCCTTTGTTTTTGAGATTGTCTTTCTTTTAAATTTAGTTTGAGTTCAATCGGTCTATCGGAACCCCAACAAAATTAGGTCCAAACATAATTAACACAATGGTCCTAAAGGCCTAAATGATCACCGATATAGCTAACTGTTTACTTGCATTTAAATTTAAATAATTTTTTAAACAACTAATGTAGAATAAAATCTGTTATAAACTGTTAAATATATAATTCAATAAATATAAGAATTAAAATTAATAATACTACAATTGTGATTTATAGGTATCAAAAATATCAAAACTATAACACTTCTGAAAACCCATGAGGTATTCAAGCTGCCAACGAAGGTGATAATGATGTGACACAATGCGTCCATTCGATTTATGGTATGGTGTTTGATCTAGACGCGTGATGGTTTTATACTTATTTAAAAATGATAATGATTTGACACAATCCGTCATTTTGACAATTACAGCTACCTATATTAATTGGCAAAAAATTGTAAATATTAATGCTAATAATATATGATTTCATCAGGATGATACTGCAAACTATGTGATTTAGATCACGTGATTTGGACATATTTGTGCTGTTACAAAAAGAGGCGTGTTTATAGAAACAGTCTTTAATTGTTTGATGCTTTAAAAGCCAAAATCTGTTAGATCAAACCTGAGGTATTAGCAGTTATGTTCTAATAAAATCATTGAAAGTACTATAGATTGACTTTGGACATATTTAAGATGTGGAGTAACAAAATACACTTCATATCTACAATTTTTTAAGTATCTACATTTCTTCTAACTATTATATTATAAATAAAAAAATCAAAAAATTATAAAAATATGAATAAATATTATTTCAGATAAAATGCTCTTATAAAATAATTACTTTTTGTTTGAAGGTAATAAACAGATTAGAGCGAAAATTATGACAAGTTCTTAATTTTTCTTCTCTACTTTTAATTACTTCCCTTTTTTTCAAATTAAAGTTTATTATTTTTTGTTTTTTTTTTTTTTTGGCCTTAAATAAACATAAATAAAGCTCTGTTGTATTTTTATACTCACGTCTTTCATGCGCGTATTGTGGAGGCGTTGGAGGCGGCAATCCACTGGCATCGTACGAATCCGTCGCCTGTAAATTAAAGAAAATATTATTATTCATTATGAGAATGATGGGTTTTTATCTAAATAATATTTTTTATTTCAGTTCCATGTACTAAGTAATGAGCAATTTAATTATTTTAATAATATCATTTATTTTCCTAATTATTATTCCTGACCGAACACTAAAATTTTTAATTTCAGAAATTTGGCGAGTGTACGAACTATAATAGAAGCGAATGTTTATTTAAACTTTTGACAGTGACTTAATGTAAATATGAATAAATTAAAAATAAATATAAATTAAATTTTTTTTTGTAATAATATTAGTAGTTCAGTTTTAGCGATGAAACTTAAATATTTCTAGTAATATTTAAGAAAATATTATTTTTCGTTGTTATGCTAAATTGTTAGTGTAACAGTGAAAATATAATAACTTTTGTTTGTATTTAATAATTAAATGAGCAATTCATTGTTATTATTTATTAACAACAATTTAGGGCATCATCTTGAAAAGCTTCTCTTATAGTTTCTGCTTATTAAGCTAAGTGCAGTGATTATTACTCAAGAAAAAAATTGTGACCAAGAAGACAAATGGTAAATATCGATATCCACAAATTTTATCTTAAACACTAAACCACAATGTAAATAAATGTCAGTGATAATATAATGTATAGTAGACTTACTACATAGGCTCTGAATGGATACGTTATGAAGAGGTTCCCAATATCTGTCATTCTCTAAATATTCATATTGCTATTGGACTTAAAAAAATTTCTGCTGCTAAGCTTGAAATCCAATGGATAATCCTGTTGCTTTAATTTTTCGAATAAAACTTAAGTTGTTAGTGCTACTTGGACCAATTGCTAAAATTTTTTCACAGTTGTTTTAGTAAGTTGTGAAGCCTCATATGAAGGCTAGTGATGCTTTTTAACTATTATAAAAAGTATTGTCTTTTGTCATGTAAATTAGAGTTACAAGTGACGACGTTGTGATGTCATAAAAATTTCTCCAATCTTGATCATTCTCTCAATGTTCATCCTGCTATATATATATATATACAATAATTTCCTACAATAATTCCGCTATATTTACATAAAGACTACGAATATTTGCTGTTTGTCTTTAATTATTCATACGAAATTTCAGTTATTAAATCTATGCACCTAACTATTCGATCCTTAGTTCATTAGTATGTTAAGGTAAGTTAGGAGCCTTGTGGCACCATAAGGAGTTTCCCCAAACTTCGTCATTCTTTACACATTCATCTTGCTGTCGGAATAGAAAATTTCGCTATATTTACATGAAGAGTACCAATATTTTCCATTTGTTCTTAATTACTCGTATGAGATTTTGAACATTAGTTCTATATGCACCTAACTATTCAATCCTTAGTTCATTTGTAATGAATTGATGGTAATTGCCATTGTGATGCCAGCATAAGTATCTCCAATCTTCATCATTCTCTATATATTAATGGTATGGTTGGCTACAGAAAAATTCAGTTAGATTTTAGTAAGCTGTTTTTCTCCATAGAGGTTTGTGATTCTTTAAAACTGTTGAGAAAAGAAAAAATTGGGCTTATTGTGGTGCCATAGAGTAGTTTTGCTCTTACCATCATTCCATGTACATTTCTTAGTTTACTTTAATAAATATTATCAACATCACTAGTCTGTGATTTTTTAACAAAAGTTGGTTTTAGTAAATTAAAATATTACCTTGTGGCTTGAGATTTTTTCCGCCTATCGCAAAAGATAAATGTTCAGATATCGAAAGTGTTGAAAAACAAAAAACTAACAAATCCTTTAAACTAATATAAAATTAACCTCTATTGTATATTAAATTTACAGTTCAGGTTTGAATAGTGCCACAGAAACCACACTATAAATTTAATTAGTACACCCTTTCAATGTCGATGCTGGTAGTGTATTTTAAATAATTTCCCTTAGATATTAATATTTACATTCTATATGCACCGTTTTTGCAAGTTCAGTTTATTATTCAGGTCAATAGCCTATGAGAAAAGTAAACAAAAACTGAATAAAATCTAAATATTAATGAAACGGATCGAAAAATGTTGCCAGAGAATTGTAAAAACCTAAAAAAATGTAAAGAAGGGTAAAAAGTGGAAAAAGTGGAAAAAGTGGAAAAAGTGGAAAACTGCCTGCAAAAGAGTGAAGAAAACCTTAACAGTGCGGTGGATACAATAGCTACTATAAACACACAAATTGCCACAACTGCCACTGTTGCACAAGTACCGACTCTAACACGCACACACCAAGGCAATTTTGTGTTAGTTCACAACGACTCAAAGTCCTTGATCCAGTGCCACAATATAAGCCAACAGCTGTGCTTCATCTTAGTGCTTAACTCACTTTTTGTACAGTAAAGTAAACACCATGAAAACCTTAAGTGTCAGCCGCCATATTGTAGAGTGATTTTATTGCACTCTTCACTTCCCAATAGTACCAACAGTACCAACTGCACCCAGTGCACCAAGTACTTGGTCTATCCGGCTGTCTGTCTGTCTATCTGTCTGTCTTTCCGTCCGTCCGTTCGTTCGTCTATTATTTAGTCCTGTTATGCATTTGTTGTTGTTCGAGTCCTTGCATGCGAGCAACTGGAGCAATGCAATATTTTTAATAAAATTTTATTTCGCAACTTATCGACAGCAAATAAAATTAGAAAAAAGCCAACTTAGATGCAAAATTCTGTTTATATTTGCGTGTTTTGTGTTTGTATTTCGCAAACAGGATTTAAATGAAATTGCATGGAATATAATAAATTTCGTATATTACAAAATTTCTTTATTTATTGTTGCAACAAAGGGAAAGTGAAATTTTGTAATAAATATTTTTGAATTTTCTGCTCACAGAATTGTGAGAGTTAAATGGTTTGTTGCAAATTGTCAAAACATAAATTTGGAGTTGGGCTTACGGCTTTCCACAACATTTATTGAAATTGTCAAAAAAATTAAAACTCAATAAAAAATTTATATATAATTCTGAACAGATATCAACTGCAAATAACTAATTCAATTGCACTAAAATATCGTATTTGTTTATTATTATTTACCACAATAAATTCTCACAATTGCATTTATTGTATATCGATGAATTTCAGATCATTGAGGACAAAATGGGCATAAAAGGAGTAAACCAATTCGTCGAAATATATAAAAGATTCAATTGATTTATTACATTTACTTTAGTTATGCATGATGTTAATGCTCAACTTAGCTTAAATAAATACAAAAAAAAGAACACGCGAAAGTAAAATATTTAAATAACACCAATGAAAATGCATTAAAATATAATAAACGCTATATATCTGGCTGCACTCTATCCTCGCTGAACATCGACAATTTGGCTCATGAAACGAAATCCGGCAGAAGGTTCTTGACAGACAATCATAGAAAAACTTCGTCTCTGCCCTATGCTCTTACTAAGAGCGGTGTCTTTACACAGTATAATAAAGTATAATACATAATAATAATAATAATGAATACATTATAAATACAACATGAAAATAATAATAAAAAGTAAATATGATTAGCGCTAGGTAGCACTAGATAAGCACTACGATTTGTTAATATATTGTAAGTCCAAATATTGTATATATCTCATTTTACTCTCCTTACAAGATAAAACCAAACTTTGATTCAATGAATTAAAGAGTATTATAATTAAAAAAATAACATTACGCAAAAGTTAATCGTATTTGTAGCTTCAAGGATTAAGAAATATTGGGTGTGATTTCGATATTCCGGGCACACCTTAGTTAGCTATGGCAAAGGATTTTAGTCCTGTTATTTTAAATTTTTTTCATTCGTTGTGTGAAGCTCAGTTATAATTGCGGGGGAATAAGTAACTCCGAAGAGACTTTGTCTTAATGCGAATTCTACATATTAATATGTTGAAGAGTCGTGCACACCATTTCAATGACGGTCGGTTTAACGGTGTATAAAATTCGTTACCAAATCGGTGTACTAAGAAAATTTGAAAAGTGTCGAATCATTTTACTTTGAGTTACCGAACATAATCAGCTCATACAGAAAGCTACATCGACAAATAGTTTAATAAAAAAGTTGCTTCAAATAGCTGAAATATGAAACAGGAAATATGAATTATGCCGAAAAGTATTGAATGGAACTACTGAACATTGAAATAGCTACTTAGTTTAATTCTTAATATATCTATTCAACATATACGCCACAACAGCAAATTAGTAAATATCTAAATATAATATATATCTAAATAAGGACTTTTTCAAAGCCAACTAAATCAACATTTCACGGATGTGATCATTAGCATTAGTACCAGCGATCAGTAATATACACATAATGGGTTAACTAATTTGTGTTTCTGATTTAGCAGACCTATTTCAGTGACATATATCAAACATAACTTTTCAAGGCATATTATATTTAGTTTAATATTTGTCAGTTGATGATATTGATCACCTAACATATCAATACAAAAATCTACATTGAAAGTGGCGATTTAATGTATCTAGATTTTTTTTTTATTAATATAGCACATTTAGAACTATAAATTTTAATATATCCAGGCGTAGAATTCAAAACAGAAAATCCTTTTGGTTTTAAATATTCAAAATTATTACATAAATAAAATAAATTTTTCCGGGAAGTAAACTACAACAACAAATATTTATTTTATATTATTTTAATTAATTGAATTTTTGGTTGACCATACAGTTGTTGTGAATATTTCCAAATACCCATTATCAGTGTTCTTAGAAATAATTCTTGTATTTAATTATTCGTAAATAGTATTTTGAGACTGCAAATACCAGGAGTCGAACGCGTACCTTGCTAATATGAAGCTCAGAGTCAGCGCACCTTAACCAACTGACCCAAAGCCGTACTTGACTTTTATGTTTGCACATTATATATTATATTTAAATTATTATATATTAAATTTAACTAAACATTCAATATTTTTCTAACTATTTAATATAAGTTATTTTAGCAAAAACATGATATTTTATAACGTTTGAGTAACAATAGCA